TCGAAGGGTGAGGCGTTGGTGCGATGGTTTTTTGGCCAAGACAGGTTTTTAGGAACATTGAATTTGGTTTTGCGGTGAGATGGGACGTTTTTACACATTTGCAGAGAATGAGGCGGATAATGGCTGACAGGCATATCTTGTCGCGATGAGACGAAGCGGTGAATGTACGGCTAGATACCAGTGACTGTGCGTCTGTAGATCTGTGCGAGGTGAAGTTGCGGTGCGGTAGGCGCCCTCTCTTGCGAGAAGACAATCTCACGAGGACGTCCTTCTTCCTGGACCGGGGTGTTTGATACAGTCCTCTTCTCTCACGTGCGTTGAAGAAAAAGTGATTCCCGAGTCCTGCGGGCGGTTGGAAGTGGAACTCTCTTTTTCTCGTTTTACCTGCACACTTTCCAAGTTTTCGTGCAGTGAGGCGGGGTGTTTGCGGTTTAAAGGCGAATCATCAATGTGAGGATGGATCTCACGATAGGGAGGGGTAAGGGCGGTGGTTGGCGTCTGCTTTTGTTCGCATCTGCAAGTGTTGACTCACTGGAATGTATAGAGCGGGGTTATCTGTCCAGTGGTCGAAACAAACTGCTTCAAATCTGCAGGCTTCCAGAGCATGTGAACGCCTGGGGACACGAAGAGAGAAAAACAATAGTCTAACGGGAGCACAGGGGGCGGGCGGTAGAGGTAGACCAGGTACGGAGGAGGATGGATGGATGGATCTAGAGCAGCGGTAGCGTCGTTTCTCGGCGGCTACGCGCATATGGGGTGATGTTTTGATTGATTGAGTTTTTGGGTGATGGGGGTGGTTGGTTGGGATTGTGTTCCACTTGGAGAGCGAGTACGGATAAGAGATGGATATTGGAGGTAGACAATGCATAGATGTACTTTGCAGCTCTGCATGAGATACCTATGTCAATAATGATTTGTCTACACTGAAAGAGAAACAAAAAGGCACATGCATCCGCCAATAGAGAGTCTACCGCGGCCAATGCTGTTGCTTGACCGGCGTCTCGGCTACGCGCAGGGAGTCCAGCAGCAGCACCACCACCACCACCGGCTGACTTACCCCCCCTCCACCCTCACCTCACCCTATGAGCGGCGCGGGTCAAGGCGGTCCCTGCGCCAGAACGCTGGAAGAGGGGGTCAACCACTCACGGGGCGGGGCTTAGCTCGGCGAATGGGAGACGGAGGCGGGGGGTCGACGGGGGAGGTGCAGCGCGCTGGAGCCGTCTCTGTTTTTTAAGCATTCTTTTGGGGCCATTGGTAGCGTCTTCTTGAGTACCTAAATTCATAGCGGAATGATACATCGGTCCATTGATGAGTGGAAAGTGTCTTGGTCGGCTTGTTGTGCATGGGCAGAGAGGCTAGGTGCCGCCAGGGGGTGAGTGTGCAGTTGTTGTCTTTAAAGACGACACATGACGCCTGTTTTCGCGTGTAGCACCGCATCGTCGGCCTTCTCTCGTTGCCTCCCGCTCTGTGTAGAAGTGTTCAGCTGTTGCCCCCTTTTTCTGGATCCTCCCAAGGGTTGAATAATTCGGATTCTCCCCCTTTCGAGCATCCTCTTCGCATACAAGCTGAGCCTCGATTGCGGAGTCTTCGCCCCAGCGGCAGATCGCCAGACGTTCCCATCCCGCCCGCCGGTTGTTGCATACCGACCGCAACAGCATTCATCCCGGCACGGGGCCTCACATACTCTTACCGAACGCCGCTCACCGAATCGTCCGGAGGTGGAAGGCGCAGTCCAGGTGGATTTCTATTTCCGTGTAACGGACCAGCAGTGACGACATTCTGCTTTTTTTTGGCTTGTGCTCTCCCACGAGGCGGACGTTTCGGGTTTGCGTTTGCATTTGCGCCTTTCAGCTGGCCTTGGATGACAAGTCAGCTGCGCCGAGCGAGCCTTCCGTCTGGTCTTTTGTTTTGAGAGACCGACGAGGAGTTTGCTGGTTCTGCCTTGGCCTGGTCTGCGCTTTTGGCACGCAAGACCGAGGCACGAGACACAAGGACAGAAGGGCGGGTTTGCCTTATTTACGCCGCCTTGTCGGTCCCCCTTGGACAAGCGGTCTGCTGAGGGTGTGCTTTCTTGGCGTCTAGAAGCTTGTTCTCGAAGGAAACAAATAGGCAACGCTCCCCCTCGGAAAGTTTTGAGTTCGAAAGGCTTGGGTTTTCATGCCAAGATTCATGTTCGTTGACGGGAAACGTTGACATACTCCATGTAACCGAAGATGGGCTTCTTCGACCGCAAAAAGATCCGCAAGGCCGAGCCGGCCCCGGTCCCGGTGAACCACCCGCCGCCGCCTTCACGGTATGCGACCTCGACCACACAGACGCCTCAATACTGGCACCCACCACCACCATACCCAAATCAACAATACCCCGTCCAACACCCCCAACACCAACAGCCCATCCGCCACCCCCCAAACCGGCAGTACCAGCAGCCCATCGTGGTGAACCAGCACTACTACATCACGCCGCCATCCTCCGCACCGCTCGCCCTCCCGGCCCCACCGCGCCCGGGCTCAACCGTACCCTCATCATGCCCCGCCGGCCTCGACAAGTTCACCGGCCCCGTGGCGACCATCGCCAAGGACTTCGCCTCGCCGCAGTTCTTCGACGAGCCGAACTTCCACCCGCACGCGACGCAGCTGATCAACTCCACCGCGGCGTGCGTCGATCAGATCGCGGGGTGCTTCAACGACGTCATGACCATGATTGACGGCGGGAAGCTGTCTGGACACGAGAAGGCGCTGTTCACGTATCAGCAACAGCCGGCCCCGAGCGAGCAGCAGCAGCAGGTTGTGCCGTACGAGGGCAAGAGGAGCGGTGGGAAGTCGAGCAGTAGCAGCAAGAAGAAGAAGGAGAGCCATTCGAAGGGGCAGGGCGTGGCGGAGAGTGTCGCGAGCGGGAGCTACTTCTCCAAAGTGGACATGTACGCCAACGCGAGGCTGCCCCTGAACCTCCCGCCTCTTCGGCTGTAAGTCTCAATCTCCTCCCTCGCAAAAGGTATAGGTTACTAACGATCCCAGATACATGCCCACCTGGCCGCTCCTCTGCATGGCCGCCCAATACGCCGAGCGCGTCTACGAGACCCCAAAAGGCGCCGAGCGCGACACCCACGTCAACGCGGACTGGAAGCACGGCACCAAGGCCATGGTGATCAAGTCCGTGCCCATGGACCACATGAACACCATCGTCTTCGCGATCCGCGGCTCCGCGACCTTCATGGACTGGGCCGTCAACCTCAACACGGCGCACGCCTCGCCGACAAACTTCCTCGACGACGCCGGCAACTTCTGCCACGCGGGCTTCCTGACCGTCGCGCGGCGCATGGTCAGGCCCGTCGCGGCGCGGCTGCGCCAGCTGCTCGAGGAGGACCCCGCGCGCAGCGGGTATAGTTTGTTGATCACGGGCCACTCGGCAGGCGGGGCGGTGGCGAGCTTGCTGTATGCGCATATGTTGGCGACGAGCAAGGCGGCGCAGAGCGAGTTGAACGTGCTGACGGGGTGTTTTAAGAGGGTGCATTGTGTGACGTTTGGGACGCCGCCGGTGAGTTTGTTGCCGCTGAAGAGGCCGGAGAGGGCTGAGTTGAGGAAGAGTTTATTTTTGACGTTTGTGAATGAGGGGGATCCGATTGCGAGGGCGGATAAGGCGTATGTGAAGTCGTTGCTGGAGTTGTTGGCGTCGCCGGCGCCGAGTTTGGGGAAGCAGAGGGGTGGGGAGGAGAGGGAGAGGGATAGGGATAGAGAGAGGGAGAGGAAGGGGAGGGGGGTGGTGGCGAAGGCGAGTAAGATATCGTTGAGGGGAAAGGAGAGCAGTGCGGTTGTGAAGGAGGAGAGGAGGGCGAAGAAGCCTGTGTGGGAGTTGCCGGCTTGCACGCTGAGTTCGCCGGGACGGATTGTGGTGTTGAGGAGCGGGGATAAGAGGGAGAGGATCAAGGATCGGAAGACTGTCGAGGAGAGGTTGAACGAGGGGGTTGTTGCGCAGACCGTGACTGATGAGGAGCTCAGGGGGGTGATTTGGGGAGATCCGGTTTGCCATGTCATGAAGCTGTACTCGGGGAGGATCGAGATCTTGGCTGTTGGAGCTGTGACGGGCAGGCATGGATGACGAGGAGGACAGGGACTGGCGTTTGGGCATGTTGATACCATTGATTTCTCCTGTTTGGATGACATGACTTAACGATTTACGACAAACAACACTAGAAATCACAGAATCACAGAAGAATGACTGATAACTGAAAGATTTCACTTCTTGCGCTAGTCTGTAGGCTGGAGTCTCTATTGGTTCTATTGTCCCGAGTGTCTTTCATTCAGGGCCTTCTACTAGGAGAGCTTCACCGCACCATGTCGCCTGTGTCCCTGGGATATAGATACAAGTCAAATCTTCAGCTTCAACAGGCTCATCCAACTTATCATCGTCGTCCATACCAGCACCTGCCAGACGGGCTGGATCGATGTTATCCGGGCCGTTATCATGTAGCTTCAGCTCCTTACGATGGAAAAGCTCGGTCGTGATCTTCCTCAGCTCAACAGCGAAGATCTGCCCAGTCTTGCACTTGGCCTGAACGCTGGTGGATGCTTAGCAATCGTCTCTCACCGCCAGCTCAATTAGGGATTATGGTGATCGCAACACTTAGCTCGTTGGCGTCTGTGACATCCCTGCTCGAGAAGAATTCCGTGACGGTGTTCTCTTGCAAACCTGATTGTTGTATCGTATTGAAGTGAAGTGTTGGAGACATATTCGGAATATGGAGAGAGTTAATTCACGATAATAGCGGAGAAAATGCCATGTCCGGGCTCAATTTGCATCCCTGCTCTGTGCCTGAGAGCATTGCATTCCATAAACGACGGACAGAGTTGAAGATGGTTCATGAAGAAAGACTTAGTAGATACTAGTATTTATTTCTCAGTGAAGCAACTCAAGAGGTCCTTCAACGGCTTCAATTGATCAGTAAAGCAAGTTCGTACCACGACCTCAATTCTCAAGCCACCAAGAACTACTACATTGTTCTTCTACGGACCAACATGGATGTAAGCAGCCCAGATTGCCGGATTGCCCTCGCTGCGAACTGCATAGTCCTCCAAGCCCCTAAGACTGTTGGATAAGTCTCTGTCACCATTGAACCAACTCACTGCGTTTCTCGCCTCGCCTGGATTCCCACGGTCGACAAGTTTCATGTCAGCTCGTCGAGCACGCACTTCACGACTTTCGCCGCTTGTTTTCTGTCGAAGAAGTATCGCTGCATTGTGCACTCCCAGTGCTACAGATTCATCGGTCCACCCGCGCTCCTGGATCGTTCGATAAACTTCTGCAGCCGCATCCGCTGAACATTCATCGTCTATCATCCAGAGGGACCCCACGACGTGCGGAAAGCCTGCCAGCTGACATGCATTTACAAGATGAATCGACTCGTCTTGAAGTCGCTCGGCCTGATTCTCTCCTGTAGAACACGCTGAGAGATAGGCAATCCAAGGTGTTTTTCTAGAAAGATTTATAGAAGTTAGATTCTCGACAGTCAACGGGTTGTCCATCCAGTCTTGTAGGAGTAGGCAACTTTGTGAAGGATCGAGGGGGTCCGAAACGCCATGTCCAGCAAAGTGGAATATTGTGCACTTCTCAATATGGTGTAGGATATCCTTTTTGCATGGCTGTCTCAACTTCGTTCTTGATATGTCGGCTGACAAAATATTATCTAACAGTCTAATTTCTTCTCCTGCAAATCGCAGTCCCGTGGGGTTCAGATTGAAATGGGCAGGTGTGGTGCCCATTGATACGAGAAACGCATCATGAGAAGGTTTCGACATTCTCTTTTGCCTGGAGCTTCGACGGGCATGCAGAAGCCCCTTGATTGAGGTGCTGTATGATGAGACAACGCGGTCAAGTACTGTTTTCGAGCAGCCCTCGGAGTGGTACCCGGCGGCATGAAGTGGCAATCGACTCAGAGCGCCCACTGAGATCCACCAGACATGTGGCAAGCCTTCATCAGAAACTGGGTGTTGCAAGAAGCCAAGTCTGTCCAAAACGGGCTGCGCTATGTTGTCCCATAGTGATTCAAGCAACCGCAAAGAGACAGGACCTTTGGTCTCCAGCTCCGAAAGTTTGAGATTAGGAAGGGGTAGAACTTCGATCGCGCTAGATGTAACAAGAAACGCATCACAACGCAAGCGACTAGCGTTGATGAAAATAATGGGTCCTGGAGAAGCTGCTTCTAGTAGCTCTTGTGTACCCGGTGGAAGCAGAAATCCCTGAAACCCAGGTTGAGACCGAATATCGGCGATCACTTGTCGAAATTGGCCATCTACTTCTCTTCTTTGTTTTGTCTGAACCTCCCAGGAAGGCGTGTGGCCCCCAGGTGTCAAGAGCGGTGCTTCATGGGTTGGAGAATCCAACCTGTCTCGGAGAGCCTCAAATCTCTCTGCCAAATCGGGATGCGCCCTTTGCAGATCAGATATTTCTGTTCGAGTCTCCAACAGCAGACTTGAGATGACGCCACGACCGACTTCTAAGAGTCTTAAAACGTCATTGGGCGAGTCACCTGCCTCAAGGGCAGTTGCCGCCGCATCGGAAGCTATATGCGCAAATCCTGCTAGCATATATTGCTGGTCCGCTGCTTTCAGTGAGCGAGGGCTCACCGTGGAAAGAATGTTTATCGCTTGTTTCGCTAATATACTTGCTTCTTTCCATCTGAACAGGGCACCCAGGATGCCGAATGCCCACCATGCTGAAGTGATGCGAACCGAGGGGGGCGAATTGTCACAATCCCATGATTGCAGATAGTAGTACAACCTTTGCTGGAGATCGGGAGCAGAGCGGGTAGCTTCAAATCTATGCCCATAACATCCCGCGAGGATGGCCAATACGTTGGCACGGTCGTGATGGTCTTTGGGGATCAACTCAGACGCTTCTTGTGCGAGGTCAATGGCCTTTCCGATATCCGTGGATGATTTCCTGGCAAGATATCGTGTTCCAAGCCAGTGCCCGAGGTTACACATCCGCACAGCACGCTCTGGTAGATTACTCAAGGTAGAGTCTACCGCTTCCTGGAGTGAATCAATGGCTAAGTCGAGGTCTTCGTTCGAGCGAAGATGCGCATATCTCGAGCCTAGCCAATTACCAAGATTTGTCTGGTATATTGTGTAGTATGGATGGTCCTTTGGTGTGATGTCTATGGCGTTACGAAGCACGCTCACCGCGCGATTGATGTCGTCAATTGAGCGAGTCCGGTGGAAACGCATACCACAAGCGCTGGCAAGATCACTGAAAACAACAGCCCGCCCAAAGTGATCTTGCGGCATGAGGTCATTCTTGATCGCATCCTCGAGAATGTCCACGGCTCGGTCAATGTCGTCCAAGCTGCCTGTGCATTCATGTCGCCTGCAAAGGAAAACACTGAGGTTGGTGATATAAAGAATTCCGTCGTGGAAGGATTTGGGAGTTTCATCGACGCATGTACCGAGCGCTTCAATGGCTGCGTTCAGGTCATGCATTGAGCCTGTACGATCGAAACGCCTGCCCAGGCAGGTTCCTAGAGTGCCCAACAATTCGGTCGTTGTAGGGTCACTCTGAAGTGCCATCTGAATACCGTCATTCACCACTTTTATCGAGCGGTTAATGTCATCAATAGATCCTGTACGTTCGAATCGGCGACGAAGTTGTTGTGCAAGATTTTCCAGCCGGTTAGGACGGTTGCGGTGGTCCTGGGGAGTGTAGTCCAGGCAAAGCTCCGCGGCTTTGACGGCCGCATCAATATCATCTATTGAGCCGGTACGGTCGAATAGATAACCCAAGCGGTTTGAAAGATTGTTGAGCCGCGAGGGGTAACTCGAGTGGTTTTCAGGGGTCTCGTTGACGGCAATTTGGGTAAGTTCGATGGCTCGCTTTAACAAAGGCATAGAGTCATCGTGTTGCGCCCTCTTCGTCAGTATGTTGGCGAGTGTATTTAGACGTGCTGCGCGTGTGTAATGGCCTTTGGGCGTGAGTTCAATTGCAATATTCAAGAACTCGATGGCCTCATCTAGATCTCCAGGCACGCCACTGCGATCATAGCGTAGACTGAGTAAATTTCCAAGATTGTTGAAGATGCCAAGGCTTTCTGCGGGATCGCTATTGAATCCTGGAAGGTCCGCGCTCCGAATATTGTTTTCGGCAACCTGCCTGAAAATATCAATAGCGCGCGCGAGGTCGTTCGCAGACGGTGACTTAGATGCCATGAACCGTTCGCTTAGACATTGGGCGAAGTTGACTGAGCGAACCACGCGTCTAGGATGGTCATGGGGCGTGTTGCTGGCAATAAGACTCATGACATCGACAGCAAGGTTGTGGTCGTCAATTGACCGACTAAGTCGATACTGACTAGTGAGAAATCCGGCCAGCTTTTCCAACTGACCGGCGTGATGATGATCGTTTGTCCCGGTAGCCTGAATGCCTTGTCTTACAAAGGTGATGAGCTCTGGGTTTTGGAGTATGACTGTTCCGCTTGAAGATTGAAATCTCTGATCCAAGGCTGTAGTATTGTCGATATACGTCTCAGGGTTGTCCATTGGGCCAGTTGAAGAGAGAGCTTCGACATCAGACGCATTGATGACATGTATCTCGATCTCCATCTTCCAAACCGTGTTCACCCATTCTCGATGTTGCGCGAAGGGGAAAACCCCGACCTCTACAGCTTCCGAATGACGCAATGACTCCAACCAAGCTTGAACATCGTTGCAATCGTGTTGCTCCTTTGGCAAACCGATGACCCATTCATTTGCGTGGCACTGAATGGCGCTCACAGCGTGTTTATTTCTCTGAAACTCGAAGAAGTCCTGCTCCTTAATGTGATCCTGAAGAATTCCGAAAGCAAACCACGTGTGAGAGATTTCATGAGTTCCGGTCGGTTCAATGTCGCTGTTGCAGAACCCTGAAAACTCTATAGCATTAGCGATTTGGCAACGTATTCATCCGGCTTGCGCGCGGCTGACCTTGATCATGGGACCAAATCTTGACAAGTATGCGTTGTACGCTTTCGGGTCCGAGGGAAAAGACAAGATAGGGCTGCAAAGGCGTGCTCTCGTCAAAATGGGCGAGCCCAAGACGACTAAATTTCCTTGGAGCTTGGAATGCCATGTCAAGTAACTGGATTTGGGTTGTTCTAAGATGTTTTGGAAATGAGACTCTTGCAGAGAGAGAATCACGGCCACTGTTTCACAGAATGACGAGGCACCGGATGTACGCTAGGTGTCGAGATGGGTAAAGGCGCGGGGTTGGAATCGGAACACAGCAGCTTGGCAATTCACGTTTTTCTTGTCAGAGAGATTGGCGCGTTACACCACCCACCCAACTGTGGGTGTTTTGCGGCAGGCTGCGTAAATACCACCAACTGTCATCCACTCAAGGTTGTGGATGGCGTGGTCCATCTTCGACCTATCAACCTGATCATGCGCAACCCTTGCATAGTGGGCTTTCATGGTGCTACCTAAATCAGGCTGTGCAGCATGCGGTGCCTATTGTGCTGGGCTCGGTGGCTGTCGTTTCCCGATGTTATTTCAGATGGAGTGGAGATCCATTATTCGTACTTGAGGGATATGATGCTTGAGGGGTATGAATTTGTCTCAGAGATGGGCTTCCTATTGACCAATTCAACCATGCGTGCGTGATCTGAGGCGTCGCTCGGCAAAGGAATATCTCCAACGAGGTGTAGCAGCGTACCTTATGGTGTATCTTGCAGCCATCCAAATTTGCTGCACGCAAGATGAGGCGAGAAGCACGCTGACAAGGATGAAGTAGACATGGTGTGCAGATATGGTTTTCCATAGGTGGTCCCAGTAAGAGGAGACGAGGGGTGGCTGGGGCTCAGCAGGCAACCGCATTGTCTCCGGGATTTCCGTCTGCTGCTATGAGAATAAAAATCACCTTTCAGCCGGCAATAGCGCGCGATCATACACGACAAACAAATATGTCTTCCCGGATGCTTTCGACACGAACACCGTCATCGCGATCACAAATTTTAATTTGATTATTGAAGGACGCTGCCGGCTCTTTACGTAATTCATTTGATCGTACCTTGTTGAACAGGAAAGGAACATGGCACCGTCGAAGCGTGCGCTGCTCATCGGGAGTCCACTGCATGGTCTGCTTGGAACCGGAAATGACCTCAAGACTATGTCAGACCTCCTAGAAAGCCACGGGTTCGACGTGGAAAATGGTGCGTACGTTACGAAACTTTTCCGCGACAACGCCACCCGACAGAATATTCTCGAGGCTTGGGAGGCCTTGATCCTCAATACCTCACAGGGCGATGCTGTTGTCATCTACTACTCTGGGCATGGGGTTTGCGTCAAATCGGACGGCACACGCGAAACATCCGGAAATCCGTCTCAGATTCAATTCATTGTACCATACGACTTTGATTGCTCCCTGGACACATGGAAAGGCATTTCAGACGGCGAACTCTCTTTGTTGCTCCGGAAAACGACCGAGAAAACGAAGAATGTTACATACATCCTTGACTGCTGCCATTCTGCGCGCGCCGGCCGCGACCTTGCTACTTTCTCAGTGCTACCAAAGGCATTCAGTCTAAGCGAAGTTCGACCAGAAGCTTTCAGTCTGACCGGCAGGTCATTGTACACTGATCTTTCGAACATCATGAAAGACCTCAGACTGGCTGGAAAGCTAACGGAAGATCATCTGGAAACCAACCCTCATGCTGTACGCATAGCTGCCGCTGCGACCAACGAGACTGCCTGGGAGTACCATGAGAACGGTTATAATCACATGGGTCTATTGACCAAAAACCTGGCCAAAGCCATCATGAGACCTAGTAAGCATAGGTCTTGGAGGGATATTATGCTTGAAGTAAGCACACTGGTGGAGCAGGACTACCCAGAGGGCAAACAGCATCCACGTTCTGCGGGACCTGACAACCGTACACCCTTCTCTTTGACAACGACAGTTACAGGGGCATATCTTGCAACGATCTGGGATGATGAATACACAGTTATTGGGGGAGGTCGACTTAACGGAGTTCAAGTGGGAGATATCTACACGATAACACCTTTTGGATCACACGGTCAGTCTGGAGAGGAAATTACGAGAGCTACCGTCGTAGACGTCAACGCTTTCGCGGCTACGATCAGCCCAACCCCCAAGCCTTCGGAATACGGTTCCAGTGAGGAACACATCATGGGCCTAGCAGTTCTCCATCAACGTCAGAATCGTTGGGCAGTCTCTGTTTCCGAGAATATGCAAGGGGTTGATTTACAGCTTCATCGGTCGGTCTTTCTCAAGCAATCTGCATCCGATGAAAACCCTCTTGTCACACTAGACCGTAGGGGAAACACAGTCTTTCTGTACAGTGGCGAAGGATTACAATTGGCTGAGGTGCGGCTCAATGACAAGATTACTCTGAAGAATGGCCTGAAGAGATTATTGGATAAAGCCAGAGACTATGGCCAAGCCCAGAACATTCAGTTACTGAGATCGGGAACGGGAGAAGAGGCTTTGGGGGCCAATGTGGAGATTGAGCTGGGGTTAGAGCGCAGGGGTACAAAGCAGGTTCTATTGCGTCGGAGCGAAGTGTAAGTCCAAGCCCATCTTTGCAGTTTGGGATCAGTTGCTTACAAGGATATTTCATTAGGTCGACCAAGACGATGATCGATCGTGTGCCTGTACACATCGACGAAAACGATCGGATGTATGTCTATGTCGAGAACAGAAGCAAACGCGATATTTTCGTGAATGCATTCAACATAGACGCTGCTGGCAAAACTACCCTGGTATCCAAAGCTTGGGAGCGAGGAATCGACATTGGTCCGGGGCGTTCACAAACTTTGGCGACGAGGGCGTATCCGCTTCGAGGCATACCACTGCAGTGGCCTAAAGGGATACCGAAGCATGGATATGTCGAGGAAAGGATGGTTTTTGTGATCACAAACAGAGAAGTCGATTTGAGAGACCTTGATGCAGCCACGAAAGCATATGGTCGTCGAGGTACAGAGAGGGCGGCAGCACAAGATAACGGCATTACTCCCTACGATGTTGAGCACGTCCGATATCATCTCAGGCCATCATCTCAGCCGTATTAGCAGGTTTATGAGGCGTCAATACACCATCGAGTCGATCGACAAGGATATCCTTTTGTTCATGAATTTCTGTCAAAAGTCGACTTCGGAATGGGACGTTGGAGTTATCAGCAAGCAAGTACTCCCCAAAGGACCCGGCTTATTATTACGATGCCGAGGACTAAACATACCTACTTATCATCAGTTTTGTTTTTCGCCAAGCACTAATGGTTCGCGATAATTCTGACACAATCTATGAGATGTGCTTTTTTAAACTTTGTTTGTTTCTTGCATGTTTGTGTGTTTGGTTCATGTTGTCTTTCACCACTTGACTCAGGATCAAGTTGACGATTCATGAGTTTGTTATTGACTTCGTCCTCACCGGAGATGAGTGAGATTTTACGCCGCTTACTTACTAAGACGTCCAGTCTATGCAAACCGGGCTGCGCCCCTAGTGAACTTGAAAAGCGATCTGACAAATTCCATCGCCACTGGACTCACCGCGAGCAGTTTTACGTCGTCTTCAATTCTTGGCATAACTCCACTGTGTCTGATATCCAGCTCGCGACCCCTGCCTGTTCGTTTGAAGTCAAACGTCGCTGTCACACAAACTAGAGACTGGTGGGTCGTCTGAAAAGGAGCCTCAACATCAATGAGCCGCAAAATACTGGAAAGATCAGTTTGAGCTCGTTTGTTTTCCAATCATTGTAGACATGAATCACACACACATCAGATAGCACTGGGTTTTCACGGATGAGAAGCTCATCGTGCTCAAGTAGCCTTATATGCAAGTCCCCATGAACAATCTACAGACGCGCTATTTGCCCGTGGGAAGACCGTCATGATGCTGCATTTGACTCGGCAGTTGGGTATTACGAAGCAGTGCCTCAGTTCAAAACCGTTGCGTAAGTGCCCAGGGACGCCTGGTCTGCATTATGGTCAAGCTCAATGATCCGTGCGGTCTGCGGGCAGACCGGTGGGACGTGTGCGAGCCGCATCCCTGCTCACTTGATCGTGCGTTTCATCAAGCGGCTTGCGACATTGATATAAGACGACAGCCAACCTCACAAAACTTTGCCGTTGCCTCCGATCTACATCCCTCAGCGCAGCGCAGTTTTCCTTCAAATATCGTCCCGATGCATCAATCTACCGTCGCCCTCCTGGTGAGCAACGCCCTGGTGGCTTGGGCTGCGACTCCCTCAGGCTTTCAACCTGCGTCCAATGTCGACCTGATTGTGGCCTATGGAGACCAGTCGGCTCTAAACGGCGTGGATCTGGCGAAGAGTCGTAAGTGCTAGGGAACCACAAGACACGAGAAAGACTCGGACTAAACGGAACAGTCACACAACAGGAGCCTACGTTCGGTACGACCGAGCCGTTGACCGGAAAGAGCTATGCCATCATCATGGTTGACGTCGATATTCCGACCAACAATCCCCCGCAGACCGGCACCTTCCTGCACTGGGCCCAGACGGATCTTACTCCCGTCGCCCAGACGACAACAGTCAAGCTGAACGACGGCGAACGCACCATCCACACTCTGACGACCAACTCGGCTGCGATTGCGGACTATAAGGGCCCCGCGCCACCAGCAAGAGTGCCCCTGACGCATCGCTATATCGAGATTCTCGTCGACACCAGCGACATCACGGCAGAGGGAACCGCGGCGCTCCAGACCCTGTCGACCCGCGGAGGCGTTCAGGTCAACGACGTGCTCACCCAGGCAGGACTGGCAAACAAGGTCGTGGCCGGCAACTTCTTCACCGTCACCAACCCCGGACCCGCTGCGAACGCTGCGAACTCGAGAAAGAGCAACAGCAGTACCACCGCTCCCACCGGAGGTGTAACCCCGTCAGCGAGGCCCACAAACATTTCCATGGGACAGAAGTCAACAGGGTTCTCCACCACGACGGTCTTGAGCGCGGCCGCTGCCGGTCTCCTGGCCCTCTTCGCCAGCTCGTTCTAAGCGCGCAGGTTGGGCCGGTGGACACGATGTGTTGGGCTGGAGGAATTTTCTGACGCCGGTATCGCCAGAGGAGAACGCGCGGCGCGCGTGCTGCATGTTGTTTCTGAGCGTCGTATATCGTCTCAGGTAATTCATAATACAAGCCAAGTTTCATCTGATTGTCGAGTGCGTGCCCCCTGTTTCACAACGGCGATGACACCGAGAGGCACGGACCGCCGGAGTGGGGCCGGCAACGGCGAACGGTAGACGGACATCGTCCGAGTTCGCGCCGAAAAGGATACTTAGCTACCTGAATTGAGGTGTGTCAATTATCCTTGCATTAGTTGTTGTATTGGCTCTTAGCAGCTGCCCCTTTACAGCGTCATTTTTGTCTTTGCGGTTTCTTTTTTCATGCTTATTTGGGTCTGCAAATCCATTCTTCCCCGTGATATTGAATGCGACGAAAGTCTCTGGAGAAATAACGGGTCTTTACATGTCGATAATGTTGTATCTGCGTTCATCCTTCCGATATCAGTTTACAACCATGATCATGCACCTGTCTCATTCGTTAGTTCAGTAGGAGGATCATCATCTAATAGGTTAGTTTCTGTCCTCAGTGTGTTTGTGCTGATTGTGACCCCGCATCTGAAATGTCAAAAGTGAATACCATGAGTGTATGTTGGAGACAATCATGAGCTCGGTATGACCTTAATCGAGACTGAGTGAATATTCGATACATAAATGCGCCATTCAATATGTTGCATCAGCTGCAGCAAATGACCACAATCATTATTATCCTTGAGAAATATCTGATTGCCCAAAAGCCTAGACAGGCCGAGTTACCGGGGGAACTTGACTGGCTGGCGATTTTCATAGTCTAACAACAGCAAAATCTGTCAACTTTCCATCTAGGGGCATTGGGTGGAATCCGTGAGTGAGAAGTTGTCGAGCAAGAAATCGGCGACAGCGGGGTTGGCGGTGTCGGCGCAAGAAATCGCAACTTGAAACGCCGGGTTGGCGTTGTAGCCCGAATCTGGGGTGTAAATCTGGTCCGACAGTTGGTACTCACCTGCGGGCGTGTTGCCCACTGTGATGGTATTTCCCACTGAATATGTCCCAGACATTTGTAGCCTCAACTGGCAGTTGCCGTATGCTCCGGTCTGTGTCAAAATACCCAGCCCGTAGTAAAACTTTAGGCGGTAGGGCCTGCCGACTGTTAAGCCGACAAGAATCTGCGCAATAAATCCAGATTGAACGCCGGAGTAGAATGGAGTAAACCTATGTCAGGGGGCGAAATGATGAGTATTTTGAAGAACAAGTGGAGTTGACCCAGAAAGCAGTCACGCATATTTATTGCCGTCCTGCGGGTGGTCGTACACACCGACAACGCCGGTTTCAACAGTTGTTCGATAAAGAATCCAGGGGTTCGCACCATCTTCAAAGCTAGGATTTTGAATAAGGTTTACTGGCACGCAAGACGAACTGCTCGATGTGCTTGACGATGTAGTTCCCGTAGAACTTGTGGAAGTAACCGTAGACGTTATGGAGTTTGGTGATGTGCTGCTTGACGATGAAGTGCGCGATGACGACGAAACCGATGATGAGGTGCTTGACGGGGTAGCACTTGTAGAACTTGCGAACGTGAACGTAGACGACGAGAGGCTTGACGATGAGCTGCTTGAAGATGAGGTGCTCTCTGATGAGGTTCTTGATGACGAGATGCTCAACGTCGAAGTGCTTGAAGATGGCGTGTTTAATGATGATGTGCTTAACGACGAGGGGCTCGACAATGATGAACCCGATGATGACGTCCTTGAAGAAGATATGCTTAGAGATGTGATGCTTGACAGTGTGGTGCTCGTCGACGTCCTCGATGTAGATGGTACCAGGTCACTAGTTAGAGAAAGCCGCGAGAGTTCAATGCTCGAAAGTGTGGTGTTTGAGAAGTTGAACCTGGAAGAAGTTCTGCTTGAGGCGGCTGTGGGGTCATTAGATGGCGTGGGTACGCTAATGGGTATTGATAATCTTGAAGACGTTGAGAGGACTGAAGGGCCTGGGGTATCAAGAGTCACTGATCCCGAAATACTCGTGGGAATTGCCACGGAAGCAGTGGTGCTACCTGGGTTGACCGAGATTCTAGGGGTTGTGGATGCGTCTGAGCTGACTACCGCCGAAGGAGTCGATACAATATTGGAAGAAGCCAGGATGGTGTTACTGCTACTGCTTGTTGTGGGTGTCACCAAAGCCAACAAGAACTCGAATTGAAGGTCGTTCGGAATCGATTGGGCACCCACCAATGCGACCGCAGCGCAAATGGCGGCCAAAACCCTGTGAGAACCCATATAAGAGAACTGATCGAGGAAATGCGCCGGCCAAGGAGATACTTGGCGGTCTTCCGAAGCGGCTGTATTTAGTATCCGAAGACTTCGTACGTTGAATCGTGCGTCGCTAAGGAGCCAATCCCTGATGTTTGGGATCATCGATTATGCCTGCCGGGATTGAAACATAGATCAGGGCTGAAATGATGCCTGCAGTAATCGTTCGGTTGTTTACATCCCAAAGGCAGCGGCAGGAATCTGTCACACGCGGGATACCTCTGAGCAGGCGTTTTCTCCCTCAGAGTTTTAAGACATGACGGGGCTCCGACAGGCTGAGCTGAACGGGTCCATTCCTCGCTTTCCCAATCAACATGATAATCAGTGTAAGGAAAGAATGCAATGTTATCTCTCTATTGTACGCTCATGTTTTCACAGGCCGCCCCTGATAAAGCCAAGTCAATCCCCACGCCAAGGACGTGTCGGTCGCGCCTCGGCACAGGAATGGCCTCGGCCCGCTCTGTGAGGGCTATTTTCATCTCAGCGCTGGAGCATTAGGTCCGTGGATGTCTGCTGGGGCTTGAAGCTACTTGAAAGTGGAAGCGGAAGTTGAAAATAAGCTTATTAGCTTGACCTTCAAGGGTGCCAAGACACAATCACAAGCTGGTGCATAATTGCCCTAAACTTGAAGGAGGGAGAAAAGCGCCACTCACGCATTACCACGCACTTCTCACCCGAAAGCTTCCCTGACAAGACGAACCGAACAATGTTCCGCGAAGACATGAACTCCATGTGTCTCCAGGATCCCGTTTTCCCAACGACGGACAGCACCGGTTGATGAGGAACATAGTGATCGTCGCCGGTAGCAATGTCTGCCTCAAAACATAATGTCACGACCTCTCCACAGAACGCCTACTAGGGTTTTAGCACCCAAAAAGATTTACGTACCTGCATTGGAAGTTTAAAAGGGTAGGTGGCCTTCTGCAGTTCACTTTTCTTACACCAAAGCCGACTTTGGCCAGAAGCAAACAACAGAAAACGAGGGTTTCTTCTACCGCCAGCTCGATCACATCTCAAAAGCGCAAGCGTTCGACATAGGCAGTGAGTGGTGGGGAGGTCAATCTGGCGTCGCAACGCTGTCCTTTTTCCCTTCTAACTTTTTTTTCGCAGTTTACCCATGCTTGGTAAATTGAACTTGCCTATGAAAGCCTCCTGCTGCTACTTTGCACTGCATGTGGCTAGCGTTGCCAGGTTGTCATGCATAGCACAGGCGGGTCGTCCCGGGTCGGTGTGGTCTTGCAGTTATCTAAAATACGACACATCAGAGCAGGCAAATACTTCAAATGTTCTGGGCATTGGGACTTCATGTGAATTGCGGGGGGGAAGCAAGGTTGTGTGGATCGCCTCAAGGGCGATCGTTCTTGGGGGTTGCCATTTTTGACTTGACTTGCATGAGCTGAGAGATAGGGTCATGCAGCGTTTGCTTACCTCAGCCTATTCGTGCTCGCAATATTTCCAGCGGTAATTAATTTCGTTTTATTCAAGACAGACGACCATCTTCGGTGTTCGAGGGCCATCACGTCCTGCTTAAAGATCTTTTCAGCACCTTCCAATCACTCACTCATCATCCTGGTCTGACCTTCTACGTCATGGCTGCCGACACTTCCGACGCCGTGGCGCCAGACCTTGTAGGCTGGACGGCCGGGCCAGAAACCCGCGGTACTCTTACGCTTGTCTGGAGCTGCGTGATTACAATTTTCGCTTGCACATGGACTGTGCTACACCTCAACGTCCCTGGTCGAGATGAGGGTCCATCGACGATAATATTGCGCAAAATCAAGTGGATGGCTATCAACATTCTTTTCCCGGAGTTCATATTTGCTAAAGCGGTTTGCGATCTGCGGCTTGCCCTCGAGGAACTTCGCGAATTCGATGAACTCGAACGACAAAACGAGCCACATGGGAGACAACTGCTCGGCAAATGGACTGTTTCTGATGCATTTAACAACTACGATTGGTCCTGGGAGTTTGAATATCCACCACTGGCAAAGTGGCTTTATCGTCTGTTGCGCCTCAAACCCCCGATACCGTCTCCAAGCCCCAAGCCGCTCCCTGGATGGGTATCCACGGTTTGCTCGTTACTCCATTCCAAAGCCATGCCATCTGAGAATCCGAGCGATATAGAAGCACAATCTCGGCAGGATTTAGATGTTCACAGGTGCTCAAACAGAAGAAATCATCTACCAGACTCAAAAGAAACAACGAGCACCCAGCAAGATTCAAGTGCAAATTCTTCGAGAGCACAAGCGAGAGCTAGCTTATGTCAAAAGTCACAAGAAGACTTGCGGCCTTGTTGGCAAATCGTCCAGAAATGGACTGTAGTACATTCGTACTATGCCCAGATGGGGGGCATTTTGTACCCGTACTCCCAAAGCATACCCTCAGATACCATGCCTCGTTACTATTGCTGTACGGCATCCATGCTGACTCCGCGATATGTGTTTATCCGCAAAACAGAGCAACCTCTTTTCAGTCACATGGTACTAGGGGAGAAAGACATTGGGGACAAGAGCAAAGCAGATTGGGTTCTGAAAGGAATCGCCATTACCCAGGTCTCCTGGCTCATACTGAGTGTGCTTGCCCGCAGGATTGTGGAACTTCAAATCACGCAGCTGGAAGTCGCCACGATTTCATTTGCTGCTATGGCAATCATCACCTATGTAGCTAACTGGTGGAAGCCAAAAGACATTTCCCACGCAACCATTCTACAGACCCCAGCATGCGGTGCTACTTCGGGGATGGATTTACCGCAGCCTTACATGCGCACACGATCATTCATGCTGCGCATTAAGTCACCAAAAAACGCTGTGGAAGAGGCGAAGAACATAGACAACATGTTACAACGAGTTCCGAATGATCTAGTGTCTATGGAGGACAATAGTCCCACCGTTTTCGTTCTCATGGCTATCTCCGCACTTGACTTTGGTGGTTTGCATTGCCTAGCGTGGTTCTTCAAGTTTCCTTCCCAGATTGAGCTTCTTTGCTGGAGGGTTGCAAGTGTCATTTCGGCTGCGCTGCCTGCCATTACCGTAGGCTTGAGCCTTGCCCTCCATTATGTGGTCTCTAGTTACATCGACTTCCGACTCGTAACACCGCTTTTACGCAAGCTTGAACCATTGACAGAGCTACAATCAGAATTTTGGAAACATATTACACACCCGAAGTGGAAGGAATGGAGTATCGATGCCCAGATATATCTAGTAAGAAATCCCACGGGTTTGAGAGACTGGGAAAAGGAACCACCGACAAACATATCAGCCGGCGAAACAAACTCCATGGCCGGCATGGGGTATTGGGATTATAGAAACTTTTCAAGTGCATTGAACAGATTTCTACATCAGTGGGAGGATGCTCAACAAATGACTCCCTATGCAGCACGCACCATGCGTAAAGCATGGTTTGAACATGGTTCTAATATGCAAGAATGTTTAGAAACGGAGGGGATTCTCGACTTTTGGCAAGAGTATGAGAACCATATTAGAAGCAAGTACGACATCTACACTCCAAATATTCCCGACCCAACTTACATCACCTTTATTCTTCGAGCTTATCAGGAATCGATCAGAGAAGGCCGGCGATGGGAGAGTGTCCGGGAAGCATGCGACAAAGCATCACTTGTCCTTACCATCGTCAACGGCGTTATCTACACAGTTGCCCGCTTGGTCATTCTTGTCCTTCTCTTTACCTGCCTCAGAGAGACACCAGCTGGTGTCTACCAGGTAACCCCTTGGCTCAACTTTCTCCCGAACTTCTCTTGAACAACCCGATCTGTCCTTCGACAAGCCTTCACAGGGCCGATACCTTTGACTCGAAATATCCTAGTCAAGCGACAAACTATGGTTACTGAGAGATAACAACTTAGCGAGGAGCAGCTGGGTATTGAACGGTGGATGAGAGCGGAGTAGAAGAGACGCATTAGCATGAGTAGTGTTGCATAGGGTTTCTAAGACTGCCTGTAATCTCTGTTTTATGGTTGTCGCGTAGTAGGGGTTGTAGAAATAGGTGAAAATGGGGTTAATCTCTTGGAAACAGGGATATAAGGCGAAGGTGTATTAAATACACTTATATTACATAAAGCTATAAAGCTATAAGTAGCTAAATAGCTATAATATACCCCCCTAACTTTATATCTATAATATAAAGCTATAAAATAAAACTATATATAAACGAAAAGAGGTTTATTTACTTTACTCTCTAATAGATAGTATATTAGTATTACTCTATTATAATCTCTACTAAAAGTAGTCTCTATAGATTAGCTTTATTATTATTTCTATCCTCTAATAAGCTAATACTACTTTACTATAGTCTCTACTAAGGGTAGTTTTTATAGATTAATATTACTTAAGTAATAAGATCTAAAGTACTACTCTATTATAGTCTTTACTAAGAGTAATCTTTATAAATTAATATTATTTTATATAACTATATCTAAAAATAACTATAGTAATACTTATAATAGATATAATACCTCTATAATTTATTTTTTACTTTAGAGCTAATTTTAGAGATAGCTTTATTTTAGCTTTAAGAGTGCTTTTAGAATAGTCTTTTTTTTATTAGCTATAAAGTAAGCCTTATATTTAGCCTGTTTGCTTTATAATACTATCTCTAAGTAGCTATACTTTATAGCTAATTATTAGTACTTTCTACTATATAGATATTTTTAGAAATTATTATTTTTATAGCTTCTATTTAAAATAGAGTTACTCTATATAGAGTTTTCTAAAGTTATAGAGAGGGGAAGCTTTAAGTAGCTTCTAAGTATAGTATAGATATTATATTAGCTTTCTTAGTTTATATACTATAATAGAGCAAGGGAGAAAACTTATTAATTATATTAAACGCTCTACTCTAAGTAGAAAGCCCTTAAAAACGCCTAAATATTTATATATCGATTTTCTAAATAACTATAAGAGATATAAAAGTGAATATATAAATATAAACCTAACTAACTTATACTTTATCTATATTTTTCACTCTCTTTATACTTTAAGTTATATAATCTTTTAAGAGAAAATAAACTATTAAGAAAAAGTTTAGTAGTATTATCTATATAGTATTCTACTTTATCTTTACTTTAAATAATTAAAGAGGTATAATAGAGATTAAAAAAGAGGATAAAAATAAAGCTAACTAAAGCTAAAAGAGCTTAAAAATATCTATTCTTATTTAATTTTTAAAAAGTAAGAATTAATAAATTTTTTCTATAAATTAAGTTAAAGAAACCTAAAAGCTCTTCTAAGAAAGTAGTTATTAAAGTTATTAAAGAAAAATAGGAATTTATATAAAAATAAGTATATTTCTTATTTATTTACTTTAATCTTTTTTATTATAAGCTAATTAAGCTTCTATCTACTTATATAAC